GGGTCATGATTTGGACAAACTTGAATCTACTCTACCTGAGGATGTTTCCACATGAATTTCATCTTTCCTGGCCCAGCGGTTCTAGAGAAGAAGATTTTTTAAAAATGCCATTAATTTTTAACAAATTCATGCTTATCTCCCCTTGGAAAAGGGCGTGGCCCTTCATTTGAACAAACTTGAATTCCCTTTACCTAAGGATACTTTGTATCAAGTTTGGTTGAAATTGGCCAAGTGGTTCTTGAGAAGAAGATGAAAATGTGAAAAGTTTACAACGACAACGACTACGACGACAACGACGACGACAACAACGACAGACAACGGACAAATTTTGATAAGAAAAGCTCACTTGGAGCCTTCGGCTCAGGTGAGCTAAAAATTGAATTTGAGGGAAAAAATGGCCTATCGATTGTGTCCTATCTTTCATTTTTATTTAATTTCATAATTGTTATTATTATTTTGCGAGTTTTTTTCTTAGAGTTTCATATTCTTATTCACATGCAGTTCATCAAATCTAAAAAGAGTTTGATTTAGAAAAGAGAAATATATAAATAAAAGAGATATTTTAGCATTTCAATCAGTAATCTTAGATGGTAATTATTCGAAACCTTTCTTGCAAGAATATTCATATTAACTTGAAAGTATTTATTTAATTTTTTATTAAGTTGTAAAATGTTCTTTATCTGCTATTACCGACGAAATAGATGAAATGTTATTTTATTAATATATATACAGTTAACATATGTGGTACAACTGAATGTGAGGCCACACAAAGTTCTCACTTATCAGCAGAAAAAGTGATCGACGGAAATATTGATCAAAATGAAAATAACTGTTCACATACTGAAGTTAATGATACAGAACCAGCATGGGTTATGGTGGACTTAAAAAAAGAATATCAACTTAAAATCATCAAAATCTATTACACAGTTGAAGGTATTTATATTTAAAGTAAGAAGATAAAGTATGGTCAAAACTAAATGATTCCATAACAACATGTGTGAATATGTACTTGTACAAAGAGTTTCTGCAATGAATATCCACTTCATTAAGGGGTATTCTTCTGATTTGTCGGTCTATGCCATACTTGTGTTCGATAAAATATACAAATATTATGCATATGTAAATTCAGTCAGACGCCAGAAAAAATAGATTGCAAGCATAATTGTCCAAATAGGAATAGTAATGAATAACTCCCAAAAAATAATAAAGAAAATACTTACTAAAATGTAATTATGAATTCTCGAATGAAATTTTAAAAACTTGAACTAAACAGTGGTGAAAACTAAATGTAATACAACTTTTCCTTTCCATAACTTTCTAACCACTCAAACTTTTATATATTTTCGCTGCACGGCCTTGATGTTAAAATTTTTTTTATGTTCGTAATTAGAGTTCTAAAGCAAGCTTTATTCTGATTCTGAAAATTTTTCACAAAATCAATTCAAAATAAAACTGAAGAATGAAATTCATAATTTGAATTACTTTACACGAATGTTTTTACTGAGTATCCTATTTTGGCAATATTAGCGAGCTCAAGTGTTCTGAGATCACTAAAACTGAGTCTCGCTAACAACTATATTCATATTGGCTGTAATTGTTTTTTTTATTTTAAATGCTTAAAATATTTCTTGCACAAAACATATAATTTTTGGGGGATCAATCGCTAGACTAACGTCTAGCTAAAATTTATTATTATTATTATGCGGTATTTTAACTGTAATTATAGTATTGGTTACAGTAAATATTTTCAATATCTAATTTCGTGACTGCGCTGGATATCCCTACCAATGACACATCTACATACCATAGGAGAGAAGAAATGTATTTTTGTAAAAAACAATGCTTTTATTAATTTATAGTGATTGTCCAACGCTCGAGGGATGACCAAATGCTTGCAAACTGTCTTCATATTTACAGCAACACTATGCAGACTTTATTTGGCACACATGTAGTCATACACATGTTCTGTAAATAACAGATGTTATATAATGTTTCGCTTCATGTTTATGACCTAACAATTAGAAAATGGTGCTAATTTGTATGTGTCTTTTAATAAAAATAGTTGAGTCTGTTGTACTCGAACAACGAACGTCTGTAAATCTTTAAATATTTCTTAAAAACAAATTTATGTAAATAAATAGTTTATGCATGATGACCAGGACACATGTATTTGTTTACATTGACTTTAGCATTGTATTGAAGTATTTTTAGTTCAGGCATGCGCACTTTAACTTTATGCATATTAGCTAGTCAGCGCATGCGCAGTCATTCTACCTTATGTAAACATCCACAATATTTTTACTGTCTGTAAAGGGATGTTTTATAAATAACGATCTATGAACGACTATACCAACATTATAGCAGCACCAAGGATACACAGCATAGGATTCCATAGGTAAATGCTTACTATCTATTGCTATTTGCGTGAAAAATCGATAGCGTCGGTTCAAGGTTCACCTAGTGCAAATGGCGCGCAGTGGCGCTAAAGTATAAACAAACTGTGTTTACGTATTGTAATATTCTATAGTATTCCTCATAGTCTTAATCTGGACAAATTAATTTTTCTGCTCCAATTTGTGTCCACTTCACTGTGATATTTGTGAGATTGAACTTATCCCTGCTATATTGTGCTGACGATATCAACTTTGATAGTTGGAGACTCGCATGTGAAAAGACTGAAGTCATTCATAGGAGCCGACCGTCCAGCTGAATCCGTTTTCAACATCTCCGGATTAAAAGAAGTGAATTACTTTGGATTAAGCGGAGGACTTATTAACAAGGGTCACCATTTAGCTGTCATTTTATCTGCAGTTAGACGCTACAACCCGCAGCACCTCATTGTGTTTATCGGGGGTAATGACCTAGATTCGCGTGACCCAGATTATAGTTCTGAGTGTGTCGTGTCGAAACTGACTGCATTTTTAACGCAGCTAAAACGAGGATTTAATCTGAAAACTGTGACCGTGTTAAGCTTCATCCCGAGGTCCCTGACTAGAAACATAAACAATATCACCTACAACCAGAGGGTCAAAGAAGCTAACGCTCTTCTAAAGGATTATTGTTTCTCACAGAGTTTAGTGTTCTGGAGACTAAGGGGTTTTGCTGAAAGCCGCGACCCAATTTTGTGCGATGGGGTGCATCTAAATAGTTTGGGGTATCATAAACTTTGCAGACAGATCAGGGGCATGCTATTGGCTCAACACAGACAGTGACCTTCATCTGTCTGCCACCACCCTCCCCTCCACCTCGTTTATATTTACTACCATTGGTTGGGGCAGATGAACACCCCATATCACTGCTTTGTTTAGATCATACTGTATATCTAGTCCTTTCAATGGCCAAAATTTTGTTGCAGAATAATTTTACTAGTCAGTCCATTTCTCAGGATACAAATGCGTGATAGTTTTGTAGTATTTTGTGTACATATATGTCTTTTGATTTATTGTCATTTATTGAAGGAGTGTTAGATGTTTTGTACCTGTCACATCATTTTTTGTGCAATGTCTTTTTATGACTTTTTATATGCTATTATGTATTGTGAAGTTCTTATAATTTGTCCTCCTTAATAAATGTCCATTTTTATTCTTTATATGGTAGTTGATTCTTCTTCTTATACGGAAGTTGGGCAGGCAGGTATAAAATCTCTTCTAGGAGCATACAATACCAGTGTACAAGGTTTATGAAAACAAAATACATGCCAAAAATCAAACATTAATTGGATTGACTGTTTCAGTTTAGGAAGGGTGATGGTTAAAAATAATATTTGTTCTGTTGCCCGAAGATTGATTGATTGCTATTGTATGTTGTTTTACAGTCAATTCCGGAATTTTTCACTCATGTAGAGACGTCACTATACACCGCTGAGAGACTTCAAATTTTGATCTTTACCCGACACTCAGGGCCATTCAGCAGTGAGAGATCTTTATCGTGCCAACACCTGCCATGACATAGTGCCTCAGTTCTTATGTATTTTCCCAAGGACCTGCAACATTCACCTCAAAGTGTCGAGCGCATGGCAAAGAAACAGTTGCTACCTTTTTTATCGCCTTTGCTCAGTCGCCTTCTAGATTCAAACCCACGACTTCCCGATTACAAAGAGAGCGCTCTACCGACTGAGCTATTGCGAATGACAAGGTAGGGAAGAGATGTGTCCTACATGTAAGATGAGCAATTTGTTATGGTTGAATATCATAAGAATCCTTACAAACAAAAACACATTGCGGGGTTCAAGTAAATGTTCAACCAAGCCATTTTTTAACTCCGCACTAAGATATTGACAAAAGTGAATAAAAACTTCAAGAGTACGGTGCAACAATATATTGAAATTTGTAAAAATGAAGATCATGACCCCTTACAGGTTAAAATAAGCAAGGAAAGGCAAAAAAGGGTCCCTATAAAGATGGCTCTAAAATCTATGAAAAAAAGATTTAAGGAAATGCTTACAATGATTCTAAAACACATTGAATTATACAAGAAGACATCGGTGACGTAAAATTCAATTTCCATTATTCAATATTTTTTTTAATTAACTCAGTCCATAATGCAGTGCGCCTTATATTTAATTTATTAATTATCATTATTATTAATATTTACATTACAAGCAACGTTTTTATTTTTGTCCTCTTGTTAATCTATAATCTTACAGTTTAGTTATTTTAACATTACAGTAAAAAATGGTTCTTTGGTGAAAAAAATGTAAAAAAGTGAAAATACATATAATTAGGAAAACAATATAATAATATTGTTATCCTGTGTAATCTAATTTTATACAACTGAAGGAAAAAAATGTTTGACAATAATGAGATTCGTTTTAGGAAACTCTCAAACAGTCTGGAACCCGTATAGATTAAATCAACATATTATAGATGTATCCAATACCTCTTATGCACAACAGTGGAGTATTTGCTACGGAAAAAGAACATTTGCTTCCCAAAACATACTGATTTCCTTATGCGAAAAAACAGCTAGATACATCAGAGTTACCATATGGCATCCTAAATATGGAATTAGGGGTTCTCTACCTGAAATATGTGAAATTCAAGTTTATGGTAAGAAAACATTTTTACTGTAATTCTGGTAAAATTAAATATAGAAATCACGAAAAATATACATTTTATTTTAATATGCATGTAGCTGAACAAATATAACTTCAAGCATAAAAAAGACGTGTAGTTGGTCCCATTATGTTATCGTTTTTTTTTTTTGTTTTTTTTTTGTTTGTTTGTTTGTTTGTTTTTTGTTTTGTTTTGTTTTTTGTTTTGTTTTGTTTTTTTTTTTTTGTTGTTTTTTTTTGCTTAAAATGAATAAGCAATAAATATGAAGTAGTAAACCACCACCATCATCTAATAATATGAAATATTTGATTTTGAATAAAATCAAGAGATGTAGATTATATATGGATACTTAACTCATTGCATATTGCGGTATATCAAGAAAATTTTTATAAATATATGGAATTAATTATATGAAATAGGATTATATTACCCGAATAAAGACAAACTATAATCCCTAACTTCGTCTGAGAAAACATTACCGATCTTAATAATCAGATGTGACCGTTTGTTTTTCCCTTTTATATCCCAGGATGCCTTCCAGGACATTATGGTCAAAATTGTGACCCTTGCAGCAAATACTGCCGCGGAGGGTCCTGTGATAGAAAGAATGGTAGATGTATCGATGGATGCACTCCAGGGTATTATGGAGGTCTCTGTGATCAGAAGTGCAGTGATAACTGTCAAAATAACACATGCATTCAATATAATGGCAGGTGTCACTGTGTCCGCGGATGGAGGCCACCGATATGTAATAGTGAGTACAAGAAATTATAATTCATAATTCATACTTTTATTTGTTTAACATATTGATATGTTGCTGTTTTTTTATTAGCAGAGAGAGAAAAAATAAAATTAATATTCGAAGAATGATTAGCAAATTTGCAAACTAGCTTTGTATCTAAATATTTACAGTTTAGGAAAGACAAAATTTGATTGAAATGCTTTCAATATTTTTCTTTGGTAAAGATGTTTTTTACGGAGTATGTTTATTATGTGTTTTATATGTTTTATGCCCCAGTAATCAAAGAATATGGGTATATACATGTAGTGTTTGCCCTCTCAACCATTCTGTTTATTTGTCCAGAAAAACGTTAACATTGTCCATAACTTTTATATTGTTGGGGCTACGGCTTTCATATTCAACATAATCTATTTATTCCCTCAAGATCTTTCATTGTGTACCAAAATATTTGAAATCTTGACGTTGGAGTATGACCAGTTTCGGAGGAATTTACCCAATTTTTACTTTGTCTACAACGCGTGAAATTTTGTGCTAGGGGTTTCATACGTTATTGTGACAAGTCCTTTGCATGGATATATGAATTTATAAAATATATATTTTACCTTTTGACCTTCACCTTGGAATTCGATCGACTTTAACCTTGGGAATAACTTTTGAGCAGTTACTATTACATGTAGGAACTTTATATTTCATAATTGTATTCAATTCAACAAGGCCTCCCCAAACATACAAACAATATTGACATTTTGATCTTGGATGTTGATGTACTTTTTAAAAGCATTAACGATGGCCATATATTTATAACAATTGGTGCTAAGACTTTAATCTTTCTCGTTGGTACCTTTTATTTCACCTTTCCACCTTGACCTTGGAGTCTGACCCACATTTAACTTTAGCCACGACTGTGTCAGTGCTTTCATATTTCACACACCTGTACATTCATTGACACAGGTCGTTTCTTTGAGTAGCAACACTTTTCATTCACAAGTGGCTCATGGGCCACATCGCTCACCTGAGCACATTGGTTAGGAAATAACGCAGAAATCATTTCAGTATTGAGAAGTTTAGAAAGACCGCTGTCAAATGAAAAATATGCTTTTTAGTCCATTGTCAAAACACTTGAAACACTGAAAGACTTGTTGCTAAGGAAAATTTAACATGGCTATTTCCATGGCAACTACTCAAATATTTTAGAATAAACTACGATTCATCCCTTTTCTCGATCTTGTTTCACATGATGAATAGATGGGGTCTTGTTTGAATTACAATGTTACGATGTATCACCCTCTGTCTGATCTTTAAAAGACCAATATTATTACTATTACTCACACGCATAGAACATTATACAGCATATTATATTAAATGAAAGTTTGAAGGGTTTCCATGACAACTGTGCATGTGCTAATGAACATAATTATGTCTCTTTTTTCAAACAAAAGCACAATACATGGACATATATAGTTGCTATGACAACTAGCAAAACTTATTTTAAGAAATCAAAATTCTGCACTAATATGCGATACATGTAGATTGATCCAAATTTTAGTTTTTCCAACAATTTTTAATCCAAAAAATATGTTTAAACACAAGTTAATCTATCTTGAAATATTTCTGATGTTGCCATGGCAACGATTTTGAAAGTCAATTATTTTGGATTTAAGAAAAAAAACACAACTTTTATTTTTTTTTTTTTTTTGTATGTTTTTCGTTTAGTTCAAATTCACATTATACTTGGATTGATAGGAAAATCTGTCGCTGCATTTTTCTTTAATTTATGCTCAAAATGTATAAAAAATGCATTTTTCAAAAAATGGTCAATTTTGCAAAACATTGAGATTTTAGTGATTAAATTAGATACGACGATGATAGACAAATTTTAATAACTTGCATCCTTTTTGTTGCTTTTAATCTTGTTCTAAAGCAGATATATTTATTTCATATTCAAAATTTTCGATTGTTTAATTATTTTTTATCAAAAAAATGTCAAAAACAGTGCTGTGAGAAGCATCTAGGAGGCCATGTTTGAGCCATGTATGGTTACCATGGTAACGGCACCCCCAATTAATTTTTTTTTGCTAAATTTAAAGAAAGGTAATTGAATTAGTAATTAATATAAAATTTGATCAAAATCGGTGACATCACCTTACCATCCATTATTGAGAAATGTTGGTTCTTATAGAGAATGGCTCTTAATATGAAAATTACTATGGGTTACATTCAATTAATTTCTTTAATTTTTAAAAGACATATCATGACTTAGGCTTCTCCTAATGGAAAAAAATACTAGGGTTTGAACTATATTCATAATTAGATATAACCGATAAATTTATTTTTTTTCAAGATGACAGATCTTAACTTCCCGTCAGGAACTTCTGTTTATCAATAAGGTTTTAGATCTATGTTTTCCATGTAAGAATTGTTGTAATAAACTATTAAATCAATCTTATAATTTATTTTTATATTTTATCTATGTAATGACGTACTTTTATTGTTTAAGATAATATGTGCCTGTTTCGGATAAAGCGGCTTTACATGTAACACTTCGAGACCGCTAACTTATATGGAGGACACTTTTCAACAAGTGACGATGTTTTCGTCACACACGTTCTACAACCAAGTGAATGAGTCCCAAAGCATGACAGTCTTCTTCGTGTTTACGATTGAATGCCGACATGCGGTTTTCGTCGGTTTACTGCACAATATCAAAATCGTCATGCGAAAAACTGTAGAACTTCTTTATCACTTTATAAGATCGAAATTGAAAGATTATATTCTAAAGTCATTGTTTCATGTTCACATCTAATATTGGAGTTTTTGATGATTAATAGTTGCTTCGAATAACGTACAAACGCTTTGTCGTTTGCATGTACATGAAACACTTTCTGATAAGCTTGAGGGGTTAAATAATAATTGCACACCCTTTCTTGTTGTCTAAAACGACTGACCTATATACAACCTGTTAAACTGTGTACATGTATATCATGTGAAAAAAACTCAGTGTTTTATCGCCACAATAGCATTACGTCTCTTTGAACAATGCCGGGTTTAGGTCGATGTATTATACGTTGATTTAAGGCTTTATAAAGCAAATATTGTGAATGTGGGCATAGAAAGAAAAGATCATACATCATTTGAAATACTTCTTTCAAAAAAGAATTGAAAATGTTTTCATGGGACAATTCAAGTTGCCTTTTATTTTCAACGCTGCTGGGTATTTGTAGTATCCCACGATGCATTGTGGCTCATTCGGCAGTAGGTAATGTAAACAGATAGCTACTTTACATGCAAATTTATGCAGACGTCAGAAAATCTAGTGGTCTCGACCTGTTTAAATACCAACGCATTGGCGCTAATAAATTTAAGCGGACAGTAAATAAGTTTCAAATTATTCTGTTTGTTGATCCGATTAATTTCGCTAAATCGGATGTCAAAGGGTGGTACAATTCTAGCTTCTATTGTCCATTGGTTGAATGTGTAAAAAGCAAATGGCGAACAAATGATCCATGCCCTTCACCGGCATAGACGTCTCCATATGAGTGAAAAATTCTCAAGAGAGACGTTAAACAATATACAATCAATATACAATCTTTATCATCTTGCATGTTTTGCCTTGATAGCTTTATCATCAAACGTGACCGTCTGGTTTTCACTTTCATATCCTAGGATGCCTTCCAGGACATTATGGTAAAAAGTGTACTCCTTGTAGCAAGAACTGCCGCGGAGGGACCTGTGGTGGAAGTAACGGTAAATGTATCGATGGATGCATTCCAGGGTATTATGGAGATTTCTGTGATCGGAACTGCAGTGATTACTGTGCTCATAGCATTTGTAATCACAATTTGGGCACATGTCGGTGGGTCCTCGGATGGAAGCCTCCATATTGTAATGGTAAGTAGAACAAATTATAATTCATAATTCTAAAATTTGTTTAATAAATTGATATGTTTTAATAATTTAACAACAGAAAATTAAATATTATAATCAATATTCGAGGAATGATCAGATCGTTTCCAAACTAGCTTTGAATCTACATCATATCCACAGTTTTGATCAGATGATACTTTGCATACACATCCAATAAAACATAAAAGATGAACATCATATCTAAATGAAGATTAAAGTAACACATTGGCGCTTACAAAATTAAGTGCACTGAAGTTTAGCTTCAGATTATTTTGTTGGTTGATCCCATTAATTTCTCTTAATCGGATGTTAAAAGTTGAATTGGTACACTGTACAATTATGGTTTTGATTGTCCGTATATCCCACTTCACAGCACTGACTGAATGTGAGAAAAGCAAATGGCGAAGAAATGATACATACCTTAGTCTATGATTTTAAAATTTACCTTTGAAGTTTTATCACAATCACAAAAAATATCGTGTAAATACAGCCTACTCCGGATATATTGAAATTCAGGGGACCATGCAAATTATTTCAATATATCCGTAATTCAATATAAGCGAAATCGTGAAGCCGCCATTTTTTTTTTTTCATTAAAAGTTAAATCCGGATCTTAAAATAAAGAACAGACCCGAACAAATTAATTTTGTTATCGTTTACCTATAACAGTGTACAGATTACATGGAGTATTAGTCCTTGAAAGTTTAAATAAAATTGTTTCTTTCTGTTGTATCGATAAGACAAGCTTAAACCTCATTATCATTTCCCGATCGCATTTATTTACGTCTTGGAGAAAAATCACCTATCTCAAACTGTTGAGTTCTGCTATTTCGAATTTAGCCTTATCATCAGCAATTAACAGTACGTATTTAATTTGAAAGTTAAGTTTCTTCTAAATCTGTGGGGGTTATTATATTGCCTTTAGCCTAAATTCTTCCGTTTTATACACATGGAAACAAAGAATTTAGCAGTGAATAATTCTATTTCCTAAAAGCATGCAGTTTCAAAACACGTAAGGTGAAAACGTAATTATTCACACCTTTGTGTATCAACTGGTCAGTCAGGCATAATTTTTGTCACCAATTAACTGTAACGACAGTCGCCAGGCAGTACTTCAATATAACCGTTATGAAAACAACTCATTATCACCTGTGGGGACCGATCAATGGCTTCAATATAAGCGATATTTCAATATAGCCGATTTCAATATAACCGTTATTTGTTGCAAAGAATATGAGAGTTTAAAACTGGGGATTTATTTTCATTTCAAAATAAGCGGAATTTCAAAATAAGCGAGTTCAATATAAGTGGAGTAAGCTGTATAGTAAATTCTACTAAGGTCATTGTCAAGATTTAAAAATTTTGCGTGCATTATCCGCAGCACTGTTACTGCTTATTATCAGAAATCAACAAAAAAAAATATGTGCAAAATAAGGCTTTGTTTTGAATACCGAATTTATTTTTATTCAGCTGTTTTATTATCACAGAACTTAAATACTTATGAAAATAGCATAGTATAACCTACTCTGTTACTGTATGTAGTTTGGTCCCATCGATGGACAATCACGTGAAGAATGCATAGTACTTGTACTGAATGTAGGTCATTAACAAATTTCAATATCGCAGGGGCAAACCCTGTTTAAAATTAAAAATTCAAGATGTTAATTGTTTATGTATACTTTGTACTTTCTGGAAAGTACTGCTGCTTTGAATAGAATTCGCGTTTTAATATTTAAAATTTCAAGTAAATGGGCTCATGTTGAAATATGTTTGACTTTTACCAAATATTTGGTGTACTTATAAAGTCACCCTCTCGATTTAAAGAAAGCACCAGCACTTTTCAAGTTAAGAATTTTTTTTTATATTCAAACAATTATTAAGATTTATTTAGTGTATTCCCTTGCGAAAAAACGATTTAATGATGCACCTTGATGTAAAAAATACCTAACCTGAACATAAAAACACGACAAAATTATTTAAATACATTCTCTCGATTATTATACAATTAATTACCCCTTGTGAGGCCAACATGGTGAAATAAGGACCCGAGACCTGGCCCACGAGGTGACCTGACCTGACCGAGGCCGCGTAGCGGCCGAGGTCAGGGCAGGTCATCGAGTGGACGAGGTCGAGGGTCCTTATTTCACCATGATGAACTCACAAGGGGTATATAAATGTTTTATTATACCGATATATATTGAAAAGTATGAATCTCAAACCGTTATCAATTCTTTCTTTGATCGGGATCGGGATTCGCTACAGACAGTGAAGTTGTTTACATTGACGTCTGCAAGTCGTGTAAGTTTTTGCATAATGATTTACTGATTAAAACAATATTTGGTTGATAGCGACATACATTGTTATAACTAACGATTACTTTTCATCTACACAAACAAAATCTAACACAGAATTCAACTCGTTTAAGAGCCGCCTCTACATTCTATTGAACTGAATTGTAACGATATATTGAAACGGTATATTGTAACGATAAAATTTTACCGTATTCTGTATGTAATGCAAAACAGACCATGAACAATTTTAAAAACGTTGTTTTTTTTTTCGTATAATTATTATTTTATGCAGTAACTTCACTCAAAAACCAATTTTTGATTAAGCGGTCATTTTTAGCGGTCATTAAAAATAATGACAGGGTCATTATATCCCATGTGCAATGGTTCCTAGGTCAGTATTGCTGTAAACAGTACCATTTGGAGTCAATATTGTGTTTTAAAGTTTTCTTACCAGCCAATCAAATTCGAGTATTTATCAATAGAGGTATAATAATAATAAATACTTAACAAAGGATATGCATTGGTATTATTAGCCTCTTTAAAACCTGTAAATAACATTTTGTTTTATAATATAACACATTTTTCTTCGTTGAAAAAAATCCTAAGTCTGCCTCTCACAGCACATGAAATACGTCATTTTTTACCAAAATGACCTCATGATTGACAAGTTCATCGAGATCAGTGATCTGTTTATTACCATCTGTATGGGATTTCACTAGAAACTTTTTAAAATGCATTGATAAGTTTTATTATTGTTTATTATGCTAATGAAGTTTAAAGTTGCAAATTATTTTATTTTCTGGTATTATGAGGAATACATAAAAGTCATATTTTAGGATGACGTACGTCACAGTAAACTTTTCCCGTATAAATAAGGTCCCGCCTCCTTATTTCAGCCTTATTTCCACAATGCTGCGTTTTCTAATGAATTGCCAACGTCATAGAAAATAATCAAATCTTTAAACGAATCTTGAATCTGTCAAAACAACTTTTGACATCAAAATATTTTACTTACTTAGATAATTTCATTATTTCAGCAGCCGCATGGTAAATGTTGCGTATTTCCTAAACATCTTGATAATTAAAGATGCTGTTCCATGAAACCCCTCCCCTCCCCGAACATTAACAGCATTTGATTTTAATATTCAAACCTAAAATTAAAGCTTAAGGGGATATCTATATCGTTTTACGTCAGAGCAGCATTTTTTGACGTCAAAATAGCGACATCTTTTATACCGGTTGACTTTTGCAACTGTGATATAGGTCTAACATTGCTTAAAGTAAATAACGTACACAATTTAGAAAACGAAAATTTATACATCATTATAACAGTTTTGTTTGATTGATCAAAATACCATTTAAAAAAATAATGAACATAATTAAAATAGTCCACACACAGTATCCGTATTTCCATTTGCAAGACTGAGAGTACTAAACCTCTTTCAAATTCTGGTATTCCTATTAAAAAGTCCAAACATTTTAACTAAGCCATATCGTTGTCAGTATCCAAAGAAAACTAAAATAATAGTATTGCTTTTCTTATTCTTATTTAGAAAGCTGCAGCTCTAACTGTGTATACAACGAATGCGATGAAAATGAAAACTGTGTAAAGGCTTGTGTTCCGGGATACTGGGGACATAAATGTCAGGAAATCTGCCCATCGAAGTGTCAAATGGGGTGCGATAGAGTAAGCGCAGACTGTAAATCTTGTCGCGACGGGTACTGGGGGATAAAATGTGAAAGGGAATGTTTATCGAAGTGTTCAGAACTAAAGTGTTCTAAGAAATCGGGATACCGATTCTGTATAGGTTGCCTTCCCGGTAACTATGGAAGGTACTGTGATCAAGTATGTGGAAATTGCAGTACTAATTCCTGTGATAAATACAGTGGAAATTGTGGCGCCTGTAACACAGGCTTTTACGGAGCAAAGTGCAATGTACCATGTCGCATCACCTGCCGGCATCAAGAATGTGGAAAAACACATGGACAGTGTAGTAATGGTTGCGAAAATGGATTTTATGGTCCATTTTGTAATAGGGGTGGGACGATACACAGATCTTGCGATACGATACGTATCTCGATATATTAGCACGATACGATACGTATCTCGATATTATGATAAATTATTTATAAAACTATTTTTAAAAAGTATTTTATTTCATTTTCTGTCTTGACATTAAATCAACTGTTACATGATAAATTATAAAACTATTCAAAAGAATTAGTATTTTATTTCACTTTTATTTGTCTTGACATTAAATCAACAAATTATTCTTAGACTATATAAAATCATGTGTGCTTTGAAATTAATACTTGAAGTTCATCAATTTTATTGACTAAAACTTTACAAAAACAATAATACATGTACATATTATTGTTACCAAATTTCTATAAACAAGTTATTCACAAATAGTTGTGTAGTTCATTAAAGAACACTGACTAAAATTTCATATAAAAAACAGCACATTTACATTATTATCAATTGCTGAAAGTCTGTAGCCTAGTTGAGATTACAAAAAAGCACGAGGTGGACTATCAGTTAATAATATATTAAATATCAAATATTCTGGAAACGTTACTTTCTGTGAATAGCACGCTTTACATACTGAACTTTTCTTGTCCAATCTTCCGACGCTGCTTAAAAGTGAAAACGTTTTACCCCTAATCAAAGACTTATTAGTTCTACATAATGTTTTCAATATCATCATCATCTCTTCGCTTCGTACAAGCCGCCATTTTCCAAGGACATGTACTTTCATTTTCAATTTTTGGATAGGTCGTTCGTGTATCGTTTCGTACCGATATTTGAATGCTTGTATCTTAAACCGTATCTTAGAGGAAAATATCGATATGTATCGGTGTATCGGTATATCGTCCCACCCCTATTTTGTAATATGAAATGCAGTCGATACTGTGCACAAACCAAATGCTTTCGAAATGGAACTTGTATTAATGGATGTAAACAAAACTGGACAGGCGAGCAATGTGATGGTAAGTTTCTTGGATTTTCAATTTGCTTTATTCTTAGATATTATTAAACGTAATACAAGATAGATAAAGGTATGTATGATAAACTAACAATTAAAAAAATCATAAAAAAGAACAAATGCCTCCTTTGTAGAGATTGGTATAAATTTAAAACAAAAGATTTTAATTGTACTTGTAAGCATTTGTTGCAAATGAATCAACAAACTATTGTTGTTAGCGACGGTATTTAGTGGGTACCACGAGGCAATGTTGAAATTGCTCACCAGAATTTGGACAACCAGGAGATGGATTGACTTAACCTAAAGTTATTTAAATATTGTCTCAAGATTAAACAAAATAGACTGTTATCTCCTTCAAAGTTATAATAGAGATCTCTTGTGTTGATCGTAGAAAACTTTAATATTTCTGATTAAGATTTGCATTCTCTGTATTTTTAAAGGATGCGATTTAAACCATTATGGACCTGATTGCTCCAAAAAATGTAGTGCGAATTGTAAAAGGGAGAGCTGTGACAATGTCACTGGATTCTGCACCTATGGATGTGAAAGCGGATTTTATCTAGGAACGTGTGCAACAAGATGCAGTACATCATGTCTGTCATCCTGCAAAAGACACTCGGGGGAATGTGAGGGCGAATGTTCAGTTGGCAAGTATGGAAATTATTGTAATAAAACATGGAGCCAGACATGTAAAGATGGATGCAGTAAAATCAATGGTTTATGTACTTCTGGGTGTATTGAC